CGTGGAAATATCTCCGAGAACATCCGATTGCTCCCAAATCCGTGTGGTAAAATCTCGGAAATGTCCGAAGTGGCTCGGAATCATGGGAAACGAAACTGACGTCGTAAAGTGACGCTTCCCGCACGCTAGATCGATGGGTAATTAGGTATTTTACAGACGAGAGTAGAAAAAAGATTTGATTACCTATATTAATTGTTGTGAAGAATCTGAGAATTGGCGGAGCGACACTATAGTCTTTCAAGAACTAACGAATAGCTTATATCCCACAGCAAGTTATTCGAAAATCACAAAGGACTAAAAAACAACAATTTTTAGGGTTGCCTAGCAGATATTTTTAATTCATTTCATTCAATTCATTTTTAAAGACCCGAAATTGTTTATGGTTACGGTTTAGAAATAATCTCGGAGCACAAAATTGTGTCCACATATAAATCTTTGTGCAATTTTAGTTTGCTCATCTCCTGTTTACTGATGAATTATTATTTCGTGATATTTAGTTAACAACCTGCTTGATTTTGTGTAGTTTTATTATATGCTACATCGTTTAATATATTGGTGTCATTTTAAGCCAACTTTAAACAGCTTGAAAGTAGCTTGGTTAAGCATAAGGATTTAGTTATTAGGTTACGTTTTATCTGATGGCACTTTTTTTTACATTATTGATTACGTCTGAACAGTTTACATCACGATGAACTGGAGATTCTGCTCGAGAAATCCGCCAACTCCACCAAGGCACTTTGTGTGATGTCAAAAGCAGACAAATTTCAGATTCTAAAATGGAAATACTCATTAAAGCAGGTTAAGTTTATCTCATGCAATTCACTTACTGTCAATCACTCTTATTAAATTGAAATACTTTTTTCTCTAACAAACATATAGCTTAGATTCATCGAAATAACTATATTTATTTAGTTTCAACGGATACTTTCTAACTCTATCGCACACATTAAACGACGTTAAAAGAATTGTTCTGGGCTAATATTTTGGAACACGGACCTGAGGATGCGAAATATAATTACCAGCATATCTGATAGCACAAACATTCGTATTTCTAAAGCCTATCGCGTAATTTTTAAAACTTTTGTAGTCAATATTTAGTTTCTATCAGATCTTTCGAAACTTTGGAGTATTAGCGAGTTGGAAAGTTTAAAAGTGCACTAATAATAAGGAGGAAAACTACGACAAGTAAGTAATAATTTTCGTTTTAAGTTTAGCAGTGCAATTTAATTTGATTTAGATTTTCCGTGCAACTTAATCTGATATATGGCCGCCATAAAGACCAAAATATTTGACTTTGTCTTCAAGTGATAGTAACAAAAACACAAAACTTTGTAAAGGAAACAATACTCAGCCAAGACGATCCTTTCACAACTCCAAAACGGCGAGTTGGGTCTGAAGCAATTTGTCAAACAGAAGACTGCACATTCATCTCGTGACAGACAGCGCGCGAAGGAGTCTGAATCTAGGTCACACTTGGTTCCGGCGTAAGTGATCGGATGTGTTTACAGTGAAAGATTGAGACTATAACGTTACTTCTTAGATGGATTTAATTGTATTAAGTGTCCTAAAGTATTTGCGTTTTCCGCTTTTCAAACAATATAAAAAGACAGCCTTTATGTTTCTTCCTGTCGGGCATAAACAATATTAGTTAAATTAGTCTGGAGGATTTTCACGAAGCCATTGATGCAATGATAAGTGGTAGCAAATCTTAAAAACTAATAATCATAAGCGAATATTAAATGAGAAAAACTCATCTTAGGAAAATCTAAAAAAAATGCTGAAATTATTTCTGCCACAAAAATACAAATAAAACAAACCATAGTAATTAAATCTAACTCAGGAAACAGTGGACTAAATTATTTTTCGCCAAATTTTCAGATATGGGTTAGGATTATTTGAACAAAATGGTCGCTCTATAAATTGATCCAACAAAGCTCTAGGCATTTATTGTCAGAAAATGCCCTCAATGTCCTTAGACGGAATCGTTGATTTTAACATTTTGGTTACCTGGAAGATTTGTTTGATATAGTGTCTTGCAGATTAGTGCTGAAATACGAGAGCTAAAGCACTTAAATAGAATAATTTTCATCTTCATTCGTTTTGGGGGAACATTAAGTAAATAACCTACCCAAACTACAAGCATGGACCAAGAAAAGTTTCAAATATCATTTATGTTATGGTACTTTTAACAATAATGATAATAAAAAAAAAGTAAACAGGAAAAATTTACCTTTCCGCTGTGCCCCTTATTATGCGACATACAATAAAATGTAGAAAACGATGAGACTTCTATTCCCAGATATGATATCTGTTCACACAATCTATGAATTGTCTAATAAATACACTCAAATATATAGGGTTCGAAAGTTGGTAGACTGTTTTTGCAATAAGAACGATTTATTTTCATTGCTTTCCTTATTCAATTCATTATACTAGTGAATATATAAATATAATAGTGAATTACCTAATTGGGAACAAATGGATAAAATTTAGAATTTTATGAATATACTTATAGATTATTTGCAATGGTGGGTTACGTAGGCTTTCCATCTCCAATGCGTAGTCTTCAGGACTTCCTATTTTCGACCGCACTTCAAAACTTCTATGTCCTAGAGTAGAGTCTGTTTAATATTCCCCTAGTCGAAATAATTAATCAAACTTAGTTCCCGCTGAATAAACTATATTCGTGTATTCGGCGTTCAGTCAATAACTTGGATTGCCGAGCTGCTAAATACAGGAAATGAATTATATACATATACAGGTTGTCCCAAATCTGCGAACCGTTATGGTAAAAATATAACTTTTAAAAAATTGTGAAGTGTGAAATTATACCAAAGTCGACTGGTACTGTCTCGCGGTTATACTGGAAATTAGTACTTATTTTAAGTAGCGCTTCCTATAAATTAATGCATTTTTTAATTCTTTCCAAAATTTTAGGTATATTTCAAATATGATATTCTGTAGCTAAGTTACACCGTTTTTGAGGTCTCTAATATTTTTTATTAAATTTCTTTTCAGGGAAAGGTCTCTTTAGCAATTTTAAATAGTAATATTACTAATACAAATTGATACTAATATATTAGGAGTTATTTTTTTTTTAATTTATTATTTAAAAAATATATAAAAAGAAATAAAAACAAAAATTTTCAATCTTTAAAAATAGTGTAGACGAATGTACGCATTCGGATTAGTATAATCCCAAATTTTTGATTTTTTGCTAGCAGTATGCCCCGAACAGACCTTATTCTAGGCAGTTGTAACTAACCCTTACATCAATTGATTTGTATTACGTATTAAACGTTTTAAATGCATGCTTGGCGAAGAAAAACCGTAATTTCCATTCCAATTTCAGATTGCACCAATAGGATTTCTTTTTGTCAAGTTGTCAATGTAGGGAACAGCTGATAAATATTCATAAGCTTCTGCACTGGATTCGCCAATTAGTGATTTCGAAGCATAACGCAATAATCGGGGAATTTGATTGATCACGCAGTGCAAAGCTCTGTTAGAAATAAAAAAAAGAAACCTTAAAACCGGAAAGGCCACGAGCGCTATTTTGGCGACGTTAATCCCAAAAACACATTTCACACAACCAAATTATGTATGTGAATCATTATTTGCGTTACAAACACTGATCAATAGCTGGTTTGAGGTATATCGTAAATAATTTCATTCAATTTGGTAGTTGGTTTCCAATTTATGCACTCCTCTATCCGAATTTTCGCCTTAATTAATTTTGCCGTAGCATTATATATGGCTGTAACTATAAAAAAGTGCTAATGTAGAGGAAGTAGAAGTAGTGCACTCCACAATTAGTAACAAATGTTGGTGTCCATGAGAGAAAACTGGAACTGGAATCTGGAAATATTTTTCAAATAGCTCAATATTTTTAAACTATTATTTTATTATTATCTTCGAATAACACCAATTCCACTAAAAAAAATATCGCACGTAACCTTCTTAAACTTTAGTAGCGCATTACACACTCAGCCATCCTTAAATATTCCAAGAACATGAGGTATGCATGGTCTACTGAGCAACATAGTAACTTTTTTCTTCTAAAAAATTCTCTTTATCCTGTTCAGCCGATTAAAATGCGATTGGTTCTTCTTCATCTTCTGGTGTTCGTATTTTTAGGTATGTATTTGAACAGCAAAAACCTGTTCCTAAACTAGATAGAGCAAAATCGGCTCCCATGCTCATGTTCGCCTTGAGCCCTTTCCATTAATAAATGATGGTGTCTACTATGAAAAATGGGTGATATATAAGGTGTTTTTGGTTTGAGTAAAAATATTCCACGCATACAGTCAATGAAGTTTAAAAGAACTGAAGGTATTTTAAAATAATTATAATTTTTATATAAAACAAGAAAGTTATATTCATTTATGGGAAAACAGAGACTTAAAAAATGCAGCATGTAGCTGCATTTGACTGAAAAATGTATCCTAATATTTTTTTATGTAAACAATAAATACAAAAATTATCAGTAGTTTTAAAATGGACAAAAATTAACAAGCGGTCAGTTGTCCAGATATCGAACTGCACTGTTTGTCTTTGAATATTTCTCAAAAATCGAACCCATGACACTTAAGTCAATCTTACCCGCTTTCCTGTAAAAAAAATTCATTAGTAAACTACTTAATACCTTCATATTTGTGGTGATTTATCTAGTTTGAATTTTTTATCATCGCCGGCCGAGGATTTTTCAGAAACGCTCCGTGAAACTCAAACAGAATATACGCCCGATGATTACAAATTTCTTCGTAAATTTCCCTAGGCTGTGCACTTTATTTTACTTAGGATTCGAACCTCAATGCACAATAAAAAGTATCGCTCTGTGTGCATCGGCTTTTTTCAAATTGCGCGTTTGATCAGAATTCTCCTTTACTCAATCGGATGTTTTACTTCCCTTTGAAATGAAAATTTATAGTTGTTAGAAACAAGAGCAATTCATTTCAACTGCCATTCTTGACACAGCATTAATTTTTTTGTTGTTCCAGAAACAAACCGTGAATGCCATGTGGACATGACGTGGCAAATGCATGATGAAGAGTCTGGTCGGGATCATGTGGATAGTACTAGTACTTGTCTCAGGTAAATAATTATTTACGGATTGCTGACTTTGGTTTATAATTCAATCAATTCATTTGATAAATTCGTTTAATAGAAAACCACGAACCGTTTTTATCAATATTAGTTACATTTTAAAGAAACTTCCACAAGCTACCGTAATATTATTGGCAAAACTTCTGGATTCGTCCTGCGTCGGTTATTGTTGAGTCGAACTTGCTAACGTTTCAGACCGTAACTAAAACTTTCAAGCATTTTACTTTGTACCGGCATATATATTATCCCACGTTGTCCTCATCCGAGTTCCATACCATTTCAAACATGATTCACGACAAAACTTTAAATCTTCGTTCATTTTCTACCCAAAATCACATTCATAAATTTGAAAAACTAACGTCAACACTAGTGAAACCATCAAACTCTTCTGTACTACCAAATACTGGGATAAATGTATCATCGCACTACCTCCCTAAGATTCCCAAACCTGGATTACCCCTTCGACCTATTTTCAGCACCATTGGTTCTCTAACATATTCTCTAGCAAAATACCTAGCTTCTTTATTAAAACCCTTTACAGGAAAAACTGATAGTTTGGTACTTAATTCCTTTCACTTCATTGAACAATTAAAAAGCATTACATTAGATACACAATATATACCGGTTAGTTTCGACGTGGAATCCCGCTTTACTAAAGTCCCTATTCCTGAAACTCGCAATATCATTTCAAATATAATAAAACCCGAGAATCTGGAGCCAAACTTTCTCACCTGAATTGAAAAATGTTTGTCTGGAACATATTATTATAACGGTCAAATTTTTGAACAAACATCGGGAATAGGTATGGGTTCTCCACTATCATTAGTCATGGAGAATATATTTATGAGAAGAAAACAAAATTATGGAAACGCTACGTAGATCATACTTTTGTTATTTCGACTTATGTTCAAGAATCCCTAGTAGAATTTCTTAGAAATTTAAACTCTATACACTGTAACATACGTTTTACCCACAAATTAGAAACTAATAATAACCTCCTATTCTTATGAATAAAACACCAGATCTAACATTGGGTTATTGAGTTTACTTAAAACCTACGCACACAGACCGATACCTTAATGCATTGTTACATCACCATCCGATCCAGAAATCATGCGATATAAACTCTCGTGTTTAAAGAGTCACTGAACCCAGAATTAAAACACTTTACCGCTGCTCTTCTCTCTAGTAATTCCCGCATTAAAGATATTAAGCGTTCCATCACAAAATACACTTCACTACAACTTTCCAATTGCAATGAGCCCGAAAGAAATCTCCCACACTGACTAGTGTTGTCCTTTACATTCAGTGGGTCATTTTCTAACTTTCTCCTTTGCGCTTGATGTCCTGTCCACAAAGACTTGTTAATTTTTAAAGAACCGTCAACAGGCTACGGTAATATTATTTGTTAAATTTGCCAATTTCATTACAAATCTTCAAAACCAGAGTTACCACTTGTTCAAAAATCTCTCAACATCTTGTATCCGTCAAAGACAAATTTCCATTTGATATGCCAGGAGTTTACAGCATTCCATGCATATGCGGCAAAGGATACATTAGAGAGACCGGACGAAAAATATCAGGTGGGCTCAAAAAACATGAAACAGCCTTAAGACTAAGACAAACAACCGAAAACTTCCTGTGATTGATTCACATGGACATAAATGCCGCTTTGTGGATAAATTAAATGCACTCTTTTAAACTTAATACCCAAAAACTTTCAATCAATTCACAATATAATTGACCAAGATTTACGAATATTATAACTTTTTTTTCTCGCCGCAGAATACACAACCACAGTGTATAAAACAAAAAGTTTAACCCGAAACTGTCCGTTGCATTTAAATTTCATTAAAAGTTGTTCATGCAACCGGGACTTTAATTAGAATTGAAAACTGTCTCCTGCGGCTTTGAACGAACATGGAGCAATAATAAACCGAAGTTTCGTGATTTGCATTCGCCCGCCGAAATCTGGATATGGCAATTAAATGAATTTTTACCAAATCTTGTTGAAATAGTGCTGAGATTTACACACTACAATTAAAAATCGATTCATTTAGAAATTAGAAATTAGAAATTTTTACCATACTTCTATGTCGAGAAATTTCATTTCATTTCTGCAGTGATATCCCATAATTCGTAGGTTTCGTTTCATAATAATTATCTATTGATCCGTTCCCAGATTCCATACTCTTAGTCGGAATGCTCTTATATAGAACGATATGAGCATTAGTGTTCTTCTTTGGATGTTCAAAAAGGTCTTTAGCTACTTGCGGCGTCAGGTGACAATTCAGATGTCACTGTATTCAAATATCAATCGAGCCTGGTTAACAGCCAAAATAATATCTCACTTTAATATATTGGTTTTGAGAAATGTACACTTAGTTTTTTTAAACCACCATTTGGTGGACCTTTCTACATTTTTCAACAACGACTTAGGAACTTCTCTTCTTAACGCCTCCCAAGTCAACCCTGTTGGTTTGTCCCTTACTCTAGGCCATTTGACTGTGAGGTTTAATCTCAAAGATTTAGTAAAATTTATGATGCCCTTAAGTTGCTTTTAAAATGCTGAGCGTTACTCACATTGTAATTATCAAATACGTCAGTCGATACCATTAAATCATTTTTCATACTGAAATTAGCCTCTATCAAAAGAGCCGGACCTTTTTTGGATTCCTTGCAAAGTAAAAATTACACCCTTATACGCTCACGTTATGTGTTAAACAGATTGATTGATTGATTTAAGCAATTTATATGTGCCATTATAATATATATTTTTTAATTAAGTTATTATTATAAACACTTTAATCTCGATGAAATACATTGATTAATCGTCTGTAGTGGCGAAAATTGAATATTGAGTCTATTGTAGTGTACAGAGGGGGATACATTTCCAAATTGCGTTATCGTGTCAAATGGTGAAATTACTACACAATACGTTGCATTAAAATGACGAAGTCGGGATAATGAGCAAGGCAAAGTAACACATTTAAAGAGTTTATAAGTCAAAAATTGGGAAACATATAAACATGCAGTTTTTACTGATTTTCTTAGATTTGCTCTGTTTTTGATTTCGTTATTACCAAGTCTAATTTTTTTTATGGAATTGCAGACATTTTTTTTCAGGTGCCTTTTCTGGAAACCCTTTAATAAGAATGTATAATTACTCTAACTTTTCAGAACAGAAAACATGCAAAAGAGCTCATCCAATTTCCTGTGTCCTTAACAGATTTTTTATTATTCCTTCATTTTCTTTCAGAACGTTGCAACTGGCCAAGTATTTTCAGTAGTCTTTCGGTGAACATTGATCAACATTGACCTTTGTCTAGTACCTACAAATAAACCATTACTTCCAACGTCTGAATATTATTTTCCTAATAAGAATGTAATTATTAGTGCATTAGTGTATTCATTAGTATATTATTATTGGAAAACAATACGAGCTGATGAGTTCTTTTTGTTGTTTTCCTAATTTGGTTTTCTGAAAAGTTGTAAGGTCATTTACATATATGTGTTTTAATTATTACTTTAAATAACTATGCCATTTGAAATAAGATAGTGATTTGCATTGGAAAAAATAATGTCTTATCCGGTTTCGATGTTGACGAACATCATCGTTATTCGAACTTTACTGGCAGCACATCTGAATAGCTCGGTGGAGGTGGCACCATACCATTTGCGAAGGTTTGCCAACCAGGAGATTCTCCTTCTACCCGTGCCTCTTTTTCCTTCTACATTGACCAGCATGATGTTTTCTAATAGGCGATATTTGTTTTCATTTCTTATGACGTGCCCAAAGTATTCAAGTTTACGTTTTTTAATTATGAGTAAGAGTTGTGGCTGACATCTCATTCTGTTGAGGACTTCATTATTTGTTATGTGATCAGTCCAAGGTATCTTGGGTAAATCCACATCGCAAAGGCATTAATTCGTTTCTCCATAGCTTCTGACATTGTCTAGCCCTCCACTCCATACAGAAGCACCGGATAGATGTAGCAGTTTACTATTCGTTTTTTAAACTCTAAACTGAGGTCTCTGTTTGTAAATAGGTTATTTATTGTAGTGAAAGTGCTTCGAGTTTTTTCTATGCCACATTTAATCTCCACAGACAGAGTGCTTCCTAAATAAGTGAATTTCTCAACCCTTTTGACGACTTCGTTATTGATGAACGGTTCTGTATATGGTGTTGGAGTTTTGCTAATTAGCATGTACTTTGTCTTTCTGGCCTCAAGTTCCAGAGCATACTCATTGGTGACAATATTAAGAGACATCACTAGTTCTTGTAGGTTCTCAAGACTGTTAGCTATCAAAACAGCGTCGTCGGCGTAACGGATGTTGATTATATTTTCTCCATTTATTTTTATTCCACTCCGAATTTCATCCAACGCTCTCTTGAAGATGTCCTCAGATTAGAAGTTAAATAGCAGCGGCGACAGTACACATCCCTATCTTACTTCCCAATTTCTACAAGTTCGGAGTATTTTTTTCTCTATACGCCTTTTGTCCCCAGTACAGTATCAAACGCCTTAGTCCACAAAACATGCGTATACGTCGCAGTTAACAGAATTATTTTGAGGAACACCTTCAACACATTGTGCTTTGGACTTTTTTGATAGGGTAACAAAAGCGGATGTTAACCATTCATCTGGAATAATTTCAGTGTTGTAACTTTTATTCAAGAATTCCATGACTTTTAGTAATTCCACTGCGATGTTGTCTAGGCACAGTGCTTTCCCATTTTTTTCCGTCTTGATTGCGTATTGGATCCCTGAAACGGTTATAGTTGGACCTTCTGCATTCATGGATACTGTTTTTTGGGTCGTGTGACATCACTGAATAGCTTGCCACTTTGATCTTTTATATTTAACGGCCTTATTTTCCTATATCTGTCAGTCGCGTCTTTTATCTTTTTGTGTACATTAAGTGTCATGTCGTTTACTAAGGTCTTTTCTTGGCATTGCTCATCCAGTTCACTTTAGAATGCCTAA